AGCTCTGATTTATAGGTTTGGTCTGGCAGTTGTACTAAACACTTTGCAGTCTTAATTCTATTTAACCCTTGTAAGAGCCTTTGTGGCAGATCTAAGTACTTTCCCCCTTTTCTAGGTGAAGGAAGCTGGTGTGTGATATCACTTGCTATAATATAATTAATATCACACACCTGGAAGCTGGCAGAACTGGCAATGAAAGCCAAGTCCTTCTGAATTCAGGGGCTGGCCCTCTCAGCCATTATAAGATGGTCACGTTGCTACATGGATATTTTTAGTAACACATTCAGGCAACAAGATCAGGAGATTGTATTGTTCCTTGTGCTGTGCCAGCTGTTGAAAGGATGTTCAAGAAATGTACATGTGAACTCTGCTGTCAGGAACTTTCCCATCTGATGAGAAATATATACATCAAGACAGAAACCAAGAAACACGGAAAGATGGACATGACTGCCCAGTCCTGGAGAAGCCCAGAGAAAGGGCAGGCTGTGATTGCTGAAGTCAGTTGGGGAAGATTTAGGGAAGATGACACTCTGAGCTCATCCGAACAAGTGAGCCAAATTAGGCAGGCTACATGGGCGAGGGGTAAATTGGGCTATGATCAAGCCTGGCATGAAGGAAACCTTAGGGCAAAGAATCTGGTGGGGAAGAAGCTGCCCTCGCAAGAGGTACTTAATGCCCCATAATTTTTGAGAGTAAGGGTCGGGCTAAGAACTTAAAACTATTTTATTGGCAATCCAAAGGACTTGATAGATTGTCCACACTCAGACACAACTCCGCTTTTACCCACCACTATGAGAACTGTTTGCCTGAGCAAACATCACTTTTCCTGCTCATTGCACAGTTTCTGTACTAGACTCTCAAGTGCTTTTAAAAAAAGTTTTCCTGAGATACAATTCACATACCATACACATTTAAAGTGTACAATTTGATTTTTTTTTTTAGCCTACTACATTATTTTTATAACGAATTTCATTTTAACTATCTTACGTGTACAATCTAGTGGCATTAATTAGAATTATAGTGTGCAACCATCACCATTATCTAATTCTAAAATTTTTTCATCACCCCAAACAGAAACTGTACCATAAAAGAGTATCTCCCCATTCCTCCTCCCCCAGCCCCTGGGAACCTCTAATCTACTTTCTGTCTCTGGATTTCTAGATACTTTTAAGTGTTCATTCATGTTGTAACATGTATCAGAACTTCATTCCTTTTGATGGCTGAATAATATTCCATTGTAGGACATGCCACATTTTGTTTATCCCTTCATCTGTTCATGGGCTGTTTTTGCCTTTTGGTCATAGTGAATGATATTGTAATGAACTTTAGTGTACAAGTATCTGTTCCAGTTCCTGCTTCTCGCGGTGTTTTAAAGAAATCATTTGCCATTGTATCTCAAGACCCTGTAAGACTTTTTCCTGAATCACTATCTGGCTGTCTTATATTGCCATTTAAATTGGGCAATGCGCCGAAACCGGTTTGGCTCAGTAGATAGAGCGTTGGCCTGCGGACTGGGGGGTCCCAGGTTCGATTCCGGTCAAGGGCATGTACCTGGGTTGCGGGCACATCCCCAGTAGGAGGTGTGCAGGAGGCAGCTGATCGATGTTTCTCTCTCATCGATGTTTCTAACTCTCTATTTCTCTCCCTTCCTCTCTGTAAAAAATCAATAAAATATATTTTAAAAAATAAAATAAAATAAATTGGGCAATGCATCATTGTAGCCCCTGTGCCTGCATACAGTAGGCACTCAAGTATATATTGAATGAATGAAGATTTTGAAAGCCAAGGCAGTAAATGTAAATACCTAGTAAATGTTCACTGACTTATTTAAATTTTCTTTAAAAAATATTTTTATTGATTTCACAACGGAAGAGAGAGGGAGATAGAAACATCAACGATGAGAAAATCATTGATCAGCTGCCTCCTGCACACCCCACACTGGGATCGAGCCCGCACCTCTAGTATGCTCCCTGACTGGGAATTGAACCGTGACCTCCTGGCTCATAGGTCAACGCTCAACCACTGAGCCACACTGGCTGGGCAACATTTAGATTTTCAAGCGGAGAGGCAAGAAGATAAAATCAGGATTTTTATAAGTTTGCATTAGTTACAATGCATCAGATGTTTTGGAGGGTAGATAAATGGGAGGGAAGAATCAGCGAAGAATCAATCTAAGAAGTTAATCAGAATAAGAGGTTGATCAGTAAAACCTGGGACTCAGAGAAAGGAATTTCTTCGTGTTGTTACTAGTATTAAAGTCTCCAGAAAACTTTATTTTATGGCAGTTGACCTCTGACTGGGGCAAGCCCTCTTGGTTTTGCATTTGTGGTTGCCATCGCCTTAGTTGTCTGACCATCTCATAAACAAAATGTCAGGACTTAGAACTCCAGAATACATTTTACTGCAGAGAGGGAAAATCACTTGGAAAGATGGCCGTATGTATTTTCTCCAGTTGTTCTGGAAAATTCTTTGTTCTGAAGTTCCTTTCCACTGAAAGGAAGGCTATCACTGCCAGAAGACACTTAAGAGATGTTAAGTAATGTTTCCCTTAGAGTAATTTACAAGTGTTGTGTTTTTCCCCTTGCTACAAAAGACAGATCTAAGAAAAATGTCTAATGCAGCTGGGAAAGATTTTCATTCTTAGGAGGCTGCTGGGCGTTCAGAAATGAACTTAAGTGGAACAGAACATTTACATTAATTGTTCCTTTGCAGTGGTTCTCAACCTTCTGGCCCTTTAAATGTAGTTCCTCATGTTGTGACCCAACCATAAAATTATTTTCGTTGCTACTTCATAACTGTCATGTTGCTACTGTTATAAATTGTAATGTAAATATCTGGTATGCAGGATGGTCTCAGGCGACCTCTGTGAAAGGGTCGTTCGACCGCCAAAGGGGTCTCGACCCACAGGTGGAGAACCGCTGCTTTAATGTATCTGATTCAATACCCTAAGGTATCCGGTATCCACGTCATTTTGCATCTGTTAAAGTGGCTAACCTAAAGGTTCACAGCCAGCTGTCTACTCGTCAATTATAGGCCTCATCTCTTCGCCCATGAAAGGAAGAATGAATGTGAGATCATTTCTAACGTCCGCTCCAGTTCCAAAGTTATCATTTCAGAAGATGATTCCGTGAGCAAAAGGAAGCCTTGTCCCCCGGCTATATCTGTGTGTCCTGAGCTGCTATACATGTATCGCTATATGTCCTTTGAATAACAGTCAAGTCAGTATGATCTGACTTACATTATATTAAGGGAATTTAACCTTGGAATCCATTCTACTTGGAGGCAATTGATTTTAAAGAAGATTGTAAAAAAAATTCCGGAGAAGGTAGATTCTCCTTTGTATCTTTATTTTTTCTCTATAAACCTGCTAAAGTCCACAATTTATGTTGTACATTCTATGAGTTTTGACAAATATATAATGAATGACATGTGTCCACCATTATAGTCTCAGATAATTTCACTGCCATAAAAATCACCTGTGTTCCATCTATTCCTCCCTCCTCCCTAACACCTGGCAACCACTGACCTTTTTACTGTTTCATCTTTTCTAGGATGTCATATAGTTAGAATCTTACAGTATGTAGTCTTTTACTTTGGCTTCTTTCAGTGCATTTAAGTTCCTTCCATTTCTATATGACAAATCTGTCTGTAGTGCTAATTGAACATTAATATGCAAAGACAATCAGTTTTAACAGTTATTGGCAAACTTGCAAAATTTAAGGACCAAAGCCAGAAACTATATTATTTTCTTTTTTAAATATATTTTATTGATTTTTTTACAGAGAGGAAGGGAGAGGGATAGAGAGTTAGAAACATCGATGAGAGAGAAACATCAATCAGCTGCCTCCTGCACATCATCTCCTACTGGGGATGTGCCTGCAACCCAGGTACATGCCCTTGACCAGAACCGAACCTGGGACCCTTCAATCCACAGGCCGACCTATCCACTGAGCCAAACCGATTTCGGCAATTTTTCTTGCTAATCCAATATGTAGGATAAAAGTCTTTCTTAAATACATTAATATAATTAAAAAATATTAATGCATTATCTTTTTGTATTGTAATATCAGTTTTATTTTTCATTAAAATTGTACTGGCATCATTATTTCGATGAAGTTTAATAAAATAATATTTCACTGTCTGATTTTCCCCAGGCCATTATTAGTCATTTCATGATTATTACTGAAAGTAGTTTTTTTGTTTGTTTGTTTGTTTTGTAAAAGTGAGGGGTGGCCAAGAGAATGACAAGTCACAGACTGGTAGAAAATATTTGCAAAACACGAAGCTGATAAAACAAACACTGTTACCCAAAATATACAAAGAACTCTTAAAACTCAATAGGTAAGACCATAACCCGATTGAAAGATCAGAAAAGGCTCTCAACAGAAACCTCAGTAAAGAAGGCAGCTACACAGGTGGACTAGGGAATTGCAAATTAAAACAACACATATTAGGATGGCTAAAGCTCAACCTCGCCTTGATTCACTCTGAGCTAGTGATTCATTTCATTGGCCAAAAGCAAGCCCTTCTACACCCAACGGAAGCCCGGCCCCCGCAGGTCCACTCAACAGCCCAGAGGAGGGGGCGTGGTGCCCTCAGCCCGCTGCGCCTGCGTTACTAACAGCAGTTAGGACTGCCCCTGGCGCCTGATTAAAATATTTAAATACAGCTGTTAAGGATCACACACAACCTACGATATTAATTTTTATTTATCATAAATGTTTAGACATTATTATGAATTTCTGAGACACACAAATTCCTCCCGTATTCATTTCAACTGAGCATGTATTTACTACACTCAGGTGCCTTTTGTCCCCAGCGCACTGTAAGTCCCCACTAAAGGGTGCAACTTAGCACAATGACGCGGCTTTCGCTAGAACAAAGCAAACCGAAACCCAAATCATTCCACCTGAAAGGGGGCGGGGAAGAAACCGAGGTATTTATTCAGGCAACTTCAGTAGTTGCCTATTTTCCTGGGGGCGGTGCCACTGGTGGACCCGATGGACCCAGCCGCGACCGCCATTTTGGGGTCTTCCCTAAGGACTTCTTACCGGCTTTTCGTGCCGCAGCCACCGCTCCCCGCGGCCTTGCCGGGCAGGATGAATGTGATAGACCACGTGCGAGACATGGCGGCCGCGGGGCTGCACTCCAACGTGCGGCTCCTCAGCAGCTTGTTACTTACAATGAGTAATAACAACCCGTGAGTGGAGGCGGGGAGCGGCCGGGGGCTGAGGAGAAAGCGGCGCCCGTTGGGGAGCGGGGGCTCAGGGGGCCTCGGGACTGCGGGAAGGAGGGCCTCGTCGCGCGGGGCCCACTGAGGAGCGCCGGCGGCGGTCACTGGGACGAACTTCCTGAGGGGAACGTGTCGAGTGGCGGCGGCGGCTTCCAGAAATGCCAGGCGGGGGCTCTGAGGGCGACCCTGGCGAGGATGCCCCGGAAAGTTGAGGGCGTTAGGGGTTTCCTGAGGTACCTGCTGCCGGGCACGGCGACTGTCAACGTCGCCGGGCTGGTTCCTCTCTTCCCGAAGAACGTTTTCTCCTTCGGCGAAGCGCAGAGGCCACGCGTCTCCTGCTTTCGTACCGTCGGCCCGCGTTTGGGGCGGGCTTTCCCCCCGGAGGGTGTGAGCAGGGTCCGCTTCCCCGCCCCGGCAAACCCCCGGGAATGGAGACACCCCGGGCGGAGCGAGGGGCCCCTCCCCTTTCCTGTGGTCAGAGCTGCCTGGTATTGAGTCTTAACGACGGCAGAGGCGCAGGGCTCTCTGCAGCCTTGAGAGCTTCAGTGTCTTCATTTTAAGGCCCTTCCCGGGGCCAGCGAGGCCAGACACCTCCCTCCCCAGTGCATTCTCAGGGCCCCGGCTCCCCGCGCTCCAGCCTCCCTCCCCGTCCGTTCTTTCCGACACTGAATGCGCCCGGCCGGTCCTCAGCTCAGGGCTTTTGCATTTGTCTTTCTGCTCGGAGTTCTTCCCGTAGACCCGCCTCCTCACACAGCTTTCAGCACAGATACCCCTTCCCAAGAATTCTCAGCTCCTCAGAGTTGTTCCTCCACCCTTACTGTTTATCCCTTTGCCCTGTTTTATAGTCTGCGCATCACTTTACTTTTAAAAACGGAGGTATAATTGCCATGTCACATTTATATTAATTTCAGGTGCCCAGCGTAATAATTCTGTATCTATTGCGATAGGAGCACCACAATAAGTCTAGTTAACATCCATCACTACATGTAGTTACAGGTGGGGTTTTGTTTGTTTGTTTGTTTGTTTTTCTGGTGAGAACTTTGAAGATCTGTATTCCACGTCACCCTGTTAAAGAACACATCTGCTAACTCCTAAGGAAGTCGGCCCAGTGCCTGTGTACAGTAAGCAGGCAGACATTTACGGCACGTGCTAAAGGAGTGCATACAACCTTAAGGAGGTGAAATGCCCTGTAAGTTCTCACGTCTAGGAAGTGGAGGAGCCATAATGTCTGGATTTTGGTCCATTTGACTCGAAGGGTCTCCATTCTGACCAGGACAGCCTGCTATCTCTAAATGGCATTATAATTAGACTGGAGGCCCGGTGCAGGAATTCGTGCATGGGTGAGGCCTGTCCAGCCCCATCAGTGTATGGGGGGCTGTCCAGGGGGAGGGGCCGGGGCAGTTGCTGGGGCAGCCCCGCCTCCTGGTCGAACTCTGGTTGAACTCCTGGTCCAGGGGATAATTTGCATATTACTCTTTTATTATGTAGGATTTTCTACTCAGGATGGACCCATTTGCATTTGGCCTGCTCGTGATGCTGTATAGGGCAGAGAAGAAAGGCCCCTTGGAAGCTTCCAGTGCAGCTGCTCTCCCATTTCATTCCCATCAGGGTGCTAACCCATCATTTTGCCACTGTCCCCTTAGTGTTGACAGGGAGGAGCCCTGGTCTGCCAGCCTTCTGTGTTTATTCTGGAGCCTTTCACTTGGTTCTGAGTGATTTGTCAAGGAACAGTTTCCACCGTTGGGAATTTGTGCAGGAGTTAGTCATTGTCCTTGGTTCTTGAAGATGTTACAAGGTAGTTAGAAGCAGTCTGATCTTCTGACTGGACTTCATATTAGGTTAAACTGGCAGTTAACTAGTTTCCAGAGGCATTTAGATTCTGACCTTTATCATTTATATTTTCAAATTTCTTACTGAATTGACAATACAATACAGTAAAAAAAAAAATTCGAACAAAGCAGAAAGGGTCTGCAGATAAGTACCTGTCCCTGAGTCTTGAACCTCACCCCACCATTTCCCTTCTCCAGAGGCAAAAAACATTAAGTTTCTCACATATCATTCCGGAGATAACATAAGTAGGCATGTATGTTATATAAATATAATATACATAAGTATCTAAATGCTTCCTGAGTATAGTAACATTTTCTGTCCAATCTTATTTCTCATTAAATACACTGTCCTTAAGCCCCTGAGACTTAAGATAAAAATTCTTCAAGTGCTTATAAAGTTTACTTTTGTGTATAAAATAAAATAAAAAACCTTTATCAAATAAGACTAATCCTCTTTCTATCCCACTCTATTTCATTAGCTTATCCTCTTCTATTTCCCTATTTCAGTATTTCTATTTTCTTCAGGATTTGAAGAGTTTTCAGTTCCCTACAAACCTCTTTTCAGTACTTTCCTAAAAAGGATTCAACTGATGAACTTTCTCTTCTAAGTTTTCAACCCTTCTTTGGTAATACTATTTAAATCATTGTGATTGTTCTTTGTCTTATCCTAAAAATTGATGTTAATATAAGAGAGAATGGATATCAAACTGTTAAATTAAGTCTTGGGTTAAAGGAGAGGAGGAAAAGATATATTACATTTCTCTTTGTACACTTCTGTAGAGTTATACAAAGAGATTTAAAGATATCATTGCTTTTATAGTAAGTAAAGGAAATATTTAAGGCAATTTTCTAGATGTGTTGACCATATTAGCGTAGAGTATGCCTCATCCCTCTAATTTTAGGAACTAGCACTTAAGGCACATTTATTTTTTTGGAAACTGTCCTTACATAAGTCTGTGTGCTAGGCTTGGACACTAAGAAGGGACACTAAGGGCAGGCATGTATTTTCTAACATTTCAAAAACAACCCATGTAGGGGGTAACCTTTCTTTGTTTTCTAGTGAGTTATTCTCCCCATCTCAGAAGTACCAGCTTTTGGTGTATCATGCAGATTCTCTCTTTCATGATAAGGAATATCGGAATGCTGTGAGCAAGTATACCATGGCTTTACAGCAGAAGAAAGCCTTAAGTAAAACTTCAAAAGTGAGACCTTCAACTGGCAATTCTACATCCACTCCACAGAGTCAGGTAATTGGAAATACAAAGTGTGATTTTGGTGGGGGAGGGCTGGGAGTGAGAGAGACTGAAAGAGTTTATAAGACTGATGTGGAAGATGTAAAATAAAATGTAATTTTAAAGGGGACTTGATGAGAAACAAAGATGAAAAACCACTTAGATGAAAGAATACATCCAACCAAGCATTTAGGGCTAAAAGCAAAATTCACTCTGGATGAATCTAAAAATGGAATTAACTATGAATTTTCTGGGTTCTAACTAACGTCATGCATTGTTCCTCCTTTTCTTACAAACAGAACTTAAAATCTAGTGTTTTTATGATGTTAATGAAAATATAACTTTAAAATGTAACTCAAATTTTACGACTGTGAATACCTGGGGAAATATATGGGAAATCTGAAAATTCCTGCCAATTTTTGATAGTTGCTTAAGAATTAAATAAATGAAGGGGGGTTATAATTTTACCATTTGGTGGAGCCATCCCATTGCTAGAAATTAACCATATAGTAGACTCACAAAAGATTTATAGGGTATATAATTAAGGTTGCTTATTGCAGAATTGTTTATAATGGTAAGAAACAGAAGCAAAAGTGTTCATTAGTTAGGATTAGCTAAATTATAGTTTAGCTATAAGATGCAATATGATGGAACTATTAAATGAAAAATGAGATAAATGTATGTGCTAATTTGGAAAGCCTGTATATATTAGTAAAGAAAAGTTTTGAAGCAGTGTGTTCAATACTCCCTGTTTGTGTGTGTGTTTGTTGTTAATCCTCACCTGAGGATATATTTTTTCCATTGATTTTAGAGAGAGTGGAAGTGAAGGTGAGAGACAGAGAGAAACATCTATGTGAGAGAGACACATCTATTGGTTGCCTCCGACACACACAAGTTTGGTCCCCCAGTCAGGTCCAGGGACCAAACTTGCAACCCAGGTATGTGCCCTTGACCAGGAATTGAACCTGAGACCCTTCCGTGCATGGACCTGTGTTCTAACCACTGAGACCAGCCAGAGCAATTAACACATTTTTAAGGTTGATCCATGTTATAGAATTAATCAGTTCCTTCATTCCTTTTTTTCCCAAATAATATTTCATTTTATGGTTATACCATATTTTAACTATTGGACATTTGGATTGTTTCCATTTTTTGCTTATAATTAACTAGAGGCCTGGTGCACGAATTCGTGCATGGGTAGGGTCCCTTGGCCTGGCCAGTGATCGGGGCTGATCAGGGCCGGCTGGCCAGGGGGAGGGACTGCGGAAGGTTGGCTGTGGGAGCACACTGACCACCAAGGGGGCAGCTCCTGCGTTGAGCGTTTGCCCCCTGGCGGTCAGTGTGTGTCATAGCTACTGGCTGGTCATCTGGTCATAACGGTCACTTGGGGGTGTGTGTGTGTGTGTGTGTGTGTACAGATGCTGTTATGAACATTTGTGTGTAGGCTTTTACTTGAATATATGTTTTCAGTTCTCTTGGCTGTATATATAGGAGCAGAATTGCTGGGCGATAGATATTATGGTAACCCTATGTTTAAGATTATGAAGAGGTGCCATAATGTTTAATATTTTGAAGAGATATTTTCATTTCCTCTTAGTGTCTTCCATCTGAAATTGAAGTGAAATACAAAATGGCTGAATGTTACACAATGCTAAAACAAGATAAAGATGCCATTGCTATACTTGATGGGATCCCTTCAAGACAAAGAACTCCCAAAGTAAGTTGAATTAACAGTTTGTTACATCATTTTCAACTCCCCATTCCTTCCACCACTCTCCCTTCATGTTTTCACTATACATTAAAGCAGTGATTCTCAACCTTGGCTGCACATTAGAATCACCTGGGAATCTTTTTAAAATCCTGATTTCCTCATCCTCCGGAAATTCTGTTCCTTTGTTATGGGGTGGGGCCACAACATTAGTAACAAAGAAACAGAATTTCCGGAGGATGAGGCCCAGAAATCAGGATTTTAAAAAGATTCCCAGGTGATTCTAATGTGCAGCCAAGGTTGAGAACCACTGCATTAGGGAGTCCATCTGAACATTTTACTCTTGCCTCTCTCTGGTTTTCACTTTGTTCCCTTGTTAGTTTAGAGTTCAGAGAGGTAGAAGAGTGCCTTTCTTCTGAGACCCTGAAAATTCAGCTGATGAAAATGGTAGCTGGAGAATACAAGTGCTTATTCTTTGTTTTTCTTACTGTAGAAAAGAATGAATTGCAATACACTTCCAGGTGGCAACAATACTGTTTTAGAACCTTATTTTTTTGCAATGTGAATGACTTTATTAATCCCTTCATTTTCAAAATCAAGTCTACAAGACTTATTTGTGTGTGGGGTATGTATTTGTATTTGATTTCACAACATATTGTAGTGAATAGAACATCTTCACCTGAAATCAGAAGATCTGGCGTCTTGTCTGAGTTTTGGGTATACAAGCTGTTTGTAGTGTGTACTTGGGCAAATTCCAATCTGAACCTTATTTTTTCCCCTTATTTATAAAATGAGGATAATAATACTTTTTCTGCTAACTTTTGGGAAAACTATGTTTATGTGAGAATACTCTTTAAAGTACTGTTCTGTAAGGAGTATTATATTGGACATCTTTGATTACGGGTTTTTGGGTGTGTGTGTGTTTTTTTAAGCCCAGTTTAGAAAAATAATGCAAATCCTTGCTCTTAGATTGAATTCATGTCAGTATCTAATATTCTACCATATTCTTTCATGTCACCTGTCTCCCTCACTTCATTGAAAAACTTTTGTTTAACTTGTGCTTAATAGTGAAGGATTTTATCTGTAAGATGCCTGTTTTCATCCTACTGTCCTTAAAAGAAGAGGAATCTAATAAGTAAGGACCTAGTGTATTTAGTTAGTGTTTTTTCACCTAAATGTTGCTAAGTTTTAAAAGTAACCAATCAAACTTGATGAGAATGTGTTTAAGCATCTCTTCATAATGAGAATTTATTTACGATTTTGAGTTTTTATAATTAAGCTATTTCCCCAGTATATTTTATGGTGGTGGCTGCTATTAAAAACATTTGGAAGCATGTTACAGACTACTCTGTCTTAAAATAAGCTTGAATGCTTATATATTAACTTGTGTTCTGGTACCCTATGAAAGACTTACCTGAAGAATAATTTTTTCATATATGAAGAATATCTTTTGAAAGATGCTGTTTTCATTATAAACTTTGAATTATACCTGTTCATTATCTTATTGGAAATGCACCATTATTTCCTCCTTAATGACTTCAAGGAGTTTGGGGACAATGAGTAATGACAAAGAAGCTCAGTTTTGTGGTATCCAGCGCTTTGGTGTTTACTGCTATCATTTTAAGAAGGACTAGAGGAATCTGCATTTATTAGGAGTACATATTCTTCATTCTGTAGAGCTATTATAGCCAGGAGCAAACAAAGATGTGTGCCTCAAACATAAACCTATAATATTTACAGTTTTTCTTTCTTGTCCGTTAGGGAGTTAACTGGCTTCTCAGTCTGTGTACAGGACAAGGAAGTGAGTCAAAATACGTCTAAATGAACGTCTGTTAATGTATGGTAAACACCGCCACACATTCCTTCACATTTTAAAGGAAAATTCCAGTGTGAGATTATTATATCTTGGTAAATCTTTGACTTTTAAGAGCAAACATATAACATGTAATTTCTCAGTTTTTAGAAAACGATCACTGCTGTGTTTATAACTGGTAGAATGTGGCTTTGTGATGTTACCAAGTAAGTATCTGCTTTAAAAATAGTTGATTTTCTCACTAGGTAGTACTCAAAACTCATTCTTTTGAAGTGCCAGGTAGTTTAAAGGGAATTTTAATATTTGTTGGCCCATCAGTCATGATTTGTTAATAATAAGCAGTCAAGAAAGGTTTTTAAATTTAAACCTCTTTTTAAGTACAGACACTAATACTGGAGTTTTCCTTTAAGTACCTTCTTTTGCATTTCAATATAGCCTAAAATGGAAAAATCTGAGGCCAAATAAAAAATAGTTTTATTTCTAGTATTTTATTATTTCATTGTTTGAATCAGTATGGATTTATGCCATACTGGATTGTTTTATATACTGTAAGTACATAATTGGAACAGATGTTTTTCATCCTCAGACCCATTCTTTTGAGTAAATATCTGGAGTACGAAGCTACAGATTGAGGAGATTGGGATTGGCTTTTTTACTCTTGTGCCCTCATGTTGACTGCTTCCTTAGGTTGATGATCTGGCAAACTCTGTGTTGTGTTATGATCTATTAATTTTAAATTGGAATATAAAGTTTTGCAGAGTTACATATTTGAATTGTGTTATTTACATAGTATAACTAATCTCTGGATCATTGTTTTTTTAAAGGTCAGAGTTTGATTTTTGTAGCATAACTTTGATGAGTCAGTCAAAGTTTGACCAGTACCTATTGGTCAAAGCTTTAAACATGAGAAAGGCTAGAGTCTAGCTCAGCCGTGGGCAAACTACGGCCCGTGGGCTGGATCCAGCCCATTTGAAATGAATAAACTCCATCCATGCTTTTGTTCCGGCCCTCTGGTCCAGTTGAAGAACCCATTGTGGCCCTCGAGTCAATAAGTTTGCCCACCCCTGGTCTAGCTGCTAGACTAATTGTCAGAGAGAAGACAAGCATTGTGCTTTTGGGTCTGTCATTTCCTTTTTGGGGAAAATTCATCTTAAGTAGCTATGTTAAGAATTCCTCACTTTCTGTGGCTTGATGTTAATTGCATTTAAAAAATTTAAACTTGAGCACTTCTAGAATAGTTCATCTTCTGTCTTAAGACCAAGAAAAGAATCAAGGTAATTAGAATTCTGTAACATTTCTCAAATGAATGTTACTCCTATTTCCAGAGGCAGCATCTTTGGTCCAAACACTATTGGACCTTTTGGTTGGGTAAGTGAAAGGAATTTGATTTTCCTTTTAGAAATGGGAGGACATAGGAAAAGCAAAGGTGGTAATTTTCAGTTTGGTTTGATGAATGGAGTTGGTCGTTGTTTATTTCCATGGAGCTGTGGGTAGATTTTCTAGTAAAAAGTAAAGTAGTAGCTAGTAATAAAAATCAGGACCTAAATTGATGGTGAAATATTTTCTTTGCAATGTACACTTAATCTTATTGTCTTCTGTTTTTATTTATTACAGATAAACATGATGCTGGCAAACTTGTATAAGAAGGCTGGTCAGGAGCGCCCTTCAGTCACCAGCTATAAGGAAGTGCTGAGGCAGTGCCCATTAGCCCTTGATGCCATTCTAGGTACGGATCATTCTCTGCCATAGAGGGTTTACTCTCTAATGTGGTAGTTCTCAATCTTGGCGGTATACTAGAATAGTTTTATTTTTCCAAAAGTTTCATCTGTAGATGGTGATTTAATAGATTACCGTTGTCATGTATTTCACTGATCAAGAAATAATAAATTATGTTTGTTCTGTCATATGCATCTTGATTCGAACAGGACAGAGTTGCCTTTAGCCCATGGAAAGGATAACCTGTTGGTTATTACATTGTAGAAGAGAGATGCTATGCCTCACTTTCTTTTTCCTGCTTTCTGTTGGGTTAGGTTTGCTGTCCCTATCTGTAAAAGGTGCAGAGGTGGCATCAATGACAATGAATGTCATCCAGACCGTGCCTAACTTGGACTGGCTCTCTGTGTGGATCAAAGCATATGCTTTTGTGCATACTGGTGACAACTCAAGAGCAATCAATACCATCTGGTGAGAGCCACAAAATTACTAAGTGTTCTTGAAGCCCTTTCCTTGTAAGGAGGTCTGATATATCTAAATTAGCAAAACAGAAAAATTAGATGCTTATCTCTTGGTGTTGCAGCCAGTTGTCCCTGGGCTTTGTTAGTCTCTTAATGTACCATATGGTCCCAAATGTAATAATCTCTGCTGAGCACCTGTTAATTGTAAACTTGGACCGAGTTTAGCTCTGTACTTGCAAAAGTAGTAACCCTTGCAAAGCAAACTGCCTTTGTGTATCATGCTTGATCGAACCTGGAAGACATCTTTTTGCATGCCCAGAAGCATAGTTATCGCAGCATCTGATCTGGGTTGCACCCCTAGGACTGGGATTTTCTTTCTAGTCAGGTAAAGTCCAAGGACAAGAGACTGGGATTTGTGTTACGCTGTCCTTTGGTTGAGTATCAAGTAGCTGTCATTTGTGAATAATATTTTTTAAAAAAAATATATTTTATTGATTTTTTTACAGAGAGGAAGGGAGAGAGATAGTTAGAAACATCGATGAGAGAGAAACATCGATCAGCTGCCTCTTGCACATCTCCTACTGGGGATGTGCCTGCAACCAAGGTACATGCCCTTGACCGGAATCGAACCTGGGACCTTTCAGTCTGCGGGCCGATGCTCTATCCACTGAGCCAAACCGGTCAGGGCCATTTGTGAATAATATTACATTTAACACCATATAGCATATTTTGTCCACTGAAAAACTGCAATCAGATAGTTATCTATAGGTAACAAGAGATTTCTGCATTATTCTGTATATTTGCTATCTTATCCTATATAACTTTTTTTTTGAGATGTGTCATTGCATTTAAATTTTTTTAAATTTGCCAGTGCTTCTTTGTTGTTTTTTTGTTATGTATATTTTATTGATTTTTTTACAGAAAGGAAGAGAGAGGGATAGAGAGCTAGAAACTTCGATGAGAGAGAAACATCAATCAGCTGCCTCCTGCACACCCCCTACTGGGGATGTGCCCGCAACCAAGGTACATGCCCTTGACTGGAATCGAACCTGGGACCCTTCAGTCCGCAGGCTGACGCTCTATCCACTGAGCCAAACCTGTCAGGGCTGCATTTAATTTTTATGTCTAGATAATACAATTTCATTATTTTTAAATTGTATATTTTAACTTTTAGGTATAACTTTTTTTAAAAAAATCATAAGCTTAGAATAAGGAAATCTAGTGTACAGTTTGTTTTTAAAGTTTATTATGAAAAATTTCATACACAAAAGAAAATAGTACCTATATGCCCATCACCCAGACTTAACCAAGAGGATTTATAGCAGGTTTTAAGGTTCACTGTTTAATATCTTAAAGTTCACTAGAGAAAAAGTCATTATTACGAGATAACGTGGATCTACTGGGAAGCTTAGCAGATCTGTACTTCAGAGCTGGAGACAATAAAAACTCTGTCCTCAAATTTGAACAAGCACAGATGTTGGATCCTTATCTAATAAAAGGTAAGTAATTCTTGGGGCAGGGCAGAAGTGACAGTAGAGGGGCAGATCAGGAAAGATTGAAAATGTAGCATGATCCTGTGATTCCAGTTATCATGGACATAGTTTGTAAAATTTGTTACAGTTGCTATTTACCTTTCTTTTGGTCCTGACGTGTCTCCAACACTTGGGTAATTCCATGTGAGCAGTTGTTTTTGCTTCATTCAAGTGTCATCTCACCACAGATCATTATTTAGGTTTTTTTTTTCGTTTGCAAGGAGTTATAGCCTCTCCTTATGATCATAGGCTCTCCTTAAGATTTATAGGTTTATGATGTGCCTGACTGAGAGTTTGGATGGCATCCCCAGAACCGTAATGTCTTTTTAGGAGATTTACTTTACTCTGTCCTTAGTATAGTTAAAAGGGAATAAATGAACAGATGTTAAGAAAAGGATGAGGTAAATGAAGCAAGTAATTAGGAGTGAACAACAACAAAAATTATTGATCTGAAAGGAGATGCAGTTGAAGGAGTAAGCCACAGGCACTTCTAAAGGATGACTGTGGGTGACTGTCAGTAAGTGAAGGGTGTGTGCTCAGGAATAGCAGGAGGAAATAAAGTCAAATAGAAGGGCTGAGGTCTGCTTGTAAAGACCCCAAAAAGGCCATCAGAATGACCTTGTTACAATAAACAGTCTTGTAGACATGTAAGCCACAAGAATGACAGAGCAGTGAGAGGAAAGATGAATTATTTGTTAAAGGTCTCCCTCTTGCCCAGTGCTTATTTCTCTTCTCCAAGCTACCCATGACCATAATGAAAATGGTGTTTTAGAAATACTAATCTGGTAGTAGTCAGCAGCCTGGAGTTGGAAGCTCAGAACAGAGTCGGGGCCAGCACGGAATGGTGCAGTAATCTTGGCTTAAGACACATTTTCATGGGAATCTGAAGGGATAGTAAGGAATGGAGGGGAATAGTGTTGAGACGAGTGACAAGAATGGAGAGCCCTTTTTATAGAACATGAGAGAATGAAGTGTGTGTGTGTGTGTGTAGGGATGATTTTACATGAACTAGACTCCAGAAAGAACTAATGCTTTTTCTGGAATAGGCTAACATTTTTTCAAGACCACTGGCATATTAAGTGTGTAACCCTGACTGCCTAGACCTCTTGGAAGAGAGAACTTACTTGATACCTTTTTTGGGCCTTTCTGGTTGAGTTAGGATGGCTGTAGTTCACACCATAGGATATAGGGACAAACAGTTCCTGAAAATAACAGACTTTTAAATTGGGAGGTAGGTCCTACTCCTTTCCTTTTTCTTTAGTTTGTATGTGTTTTTTCTTTTTTAAAACATATTTTTATTGATTTCAGACAGGAAAAGAGAGGGGTAGAGATGGAAAGATCAGGGATGAGAGAGAATCATTGATAGGTTGCCTCCTCCACACCCGACATGGGGGATTGAGCCCACAATCCGGGAATGTGCCCTGACCGGAAATTGAACTGTGACCTCCTGATTCATAGGTCGACACTCAACCACTGAGCTATCCCGGCTGGGCTGTTGTTTTTAGTTTTTATAAATCATTTTGTTGGGAACTGGGAATGCTGATGGAAGGAGCTCATGATGGTGGAAAGGGCTCAAATCCTAAGGAGCTGGGGCCTCGGTGTGGGCTCTGAGGATGGTGCTACCTTTTATAAGGGAGTTTAAAGAGCCTCTTCCTTTCTAGGAATGGATGTATATGGCTACCTCCTGGCACGAGAAGGGCGGCTGGAGGATGTGGAGAATCTTGGCTGCCGCCTTTTCAATATTTCTGATCAGCATGCAGAACCCTGGGTGGTCTCTGGGTATGTTTATGCGCTCCCCCTTCTCCCACCCCCTCAGTTTCCAGCAGAGTCTTTGGGAACGTGTAGTTCTTGAATAGGCTATAGCTTGAAAACACAGGTTTAAGAGATAATAAGACTTGGGTTCGAATTATGGTCTTTGACTTTAGGCACGTGATTTACCTCTTAAATCTCTGTTCTTTGGGAATCTTGCATGATACCACTACACCAGCGGCGCTTAAATCTCTGTTCTTTGGAAAACAGGGACAATACCGCTGTTTCATGGGGTAGGTATTAACTGAGATAGTGAATGCATCATGCTCAGCACAGGAGCTGCTGCTTTGTTATTGACCTGGCTTTATAAATTCTCTGAATGTCTCTGATCTGATAACATATCCAGATCATCAGGTTCTCCTTCCATATCAAGATTTCTCCTTTAAAAATAAATGTTTAGTAGATATTTTTGTTTCGTTCTTTCACTGATAGATTAAGTGTGGTTTGTAATAAGAATCATGTAGAGGGCTTTCTGTGAAGTTTCTTTACATAGGCATACCTTGGAGATACTGCAGGTTCCAGGCCAACTAGCTCAATAAAGTGAGTTTTATAGTATTTTTGTTTGTGGAAGATCTTGCCTTCATTTTGCAAAAAACACAACATTTGTGAAGAACAAGAGCAATAAAGTGTGGTATGCCTGTATTGTTCTCTCGGATAACTTATGTTTGTTTTTTCTCCAGGTGTCATAGCTTCTATAGCAAACGCTACTCTCGGGCCCTGTATTTAGGAGCAAAGGCCATTCAGCTGAACAGTAATAGTGTTCAAGCTTTGCTACTTAAGGGAGCAGCACTCAGGAACATGGGCAGAGTTATATTTACAAAGTACCAATTAAAATAATTTTCTGGTTGGGTCACAACATGAGGAACTGTATTTAAAGGGCCAGAAGGTTGAGAACCACTGCTCTAATACCATGTAAATTAGAATATTTGGTGGTGGGAGATAGGTATCTGTGTGTTTTTTTTTTTGAAGATCTCAGGTATTGCTAATGTGCAGACAAGTTTGGGAATCACTGCATTAGGCACTTTAAATTTAGGGCTTTTGCTGGACTTTTCACTTCATACTTTCAGAATCCATTTCTCTTTGTTTTATTTTTTGGTGATGGAGTAAGTAGTTGAGGTTAATTTTTTGGTCCTTTTTTTGGGTTCTCAAACATGGACAACTCGTTAGTGTAAATCTCGCTGTGCCAGCAGTGTGCTGAATCACTTGGTTATTATAGATCTTTAGTCTTTTTCACAGTTGCCTTACATTGGGCCAGAAATATTGCCCATAGCAGTGGTCAGCAAACTCATTAGTCAACAGAGCCAAATATCAACAGTACAACGATTGAAATTTCTTTTGAGAGCCAGATTTTTTAAACTTAAACTATATAGGTAGGTACATAGTTATTAACTTAATTAGGGTACTCCTAAGGCTTGGGAAGAGCCACACTCAAAGGGCCAAAGAGCTGCATGTGGCTCGCGAGCCGCAGTTTGCCGACCACTGACCCATAGGGTAATCCATATTCATATAATGGTGGGGTTGTGGGAATTGGTAGGTTCATTGTGACTCCAGAGTGGGCTTGATCAGGGTCAAACTTTGTTTTGTTATGTACTATTTTAAGTTCATGTGAACTGACCCTAGGAGTTCAAAGGAGTTGTGCCAGCTTCTGCAATATTTGGTGACTCAGTCACAGACTTTGAAATAGCTCTTATAAAATGCAGTTCCTCCAAAGCATATTTTTATATGAAAGAATTTAAAAATGAACCCAAGAGTATAGGAGTCATTTGCTGTTAACAGGAAGATGAGTTCAAATTTGAAAAATAAAATTTGAAAGTGGGGGTAAAAAACAAATTTTCCTATGTGGATTACTACCCCAATGAAATTAACAAATAAAATGTAAAATAAATAAATAAAAATAAATCTGCTTAGTCAGTCAGGCTATACCTATGGTGGATTTGTTCTTAAAGAAACCCCAGCAGACCAAGCTTTTGGTTTCAAATTCTTAATCCTGAGCTATAACGTCCCTACCTCTCAGCAGCTTTTATCATGCTAATTCCTTTGTGCTGTGTGCCTGACTCACCTGCACCCAGGAATGCAGTTGAAGAGCTTGGACACAGGCTGGGAAGAGTTGTTGGGGGCAGAGGTTGTTCCCCAGCTGGCTGGCCAGTGAGGCTTCAAGGGCTGCCTTCACTCAAGTTACCATTTGGAGATTGGATCAGGGTGATTGGTCATACCCTCTGGTGCTTGCAGCCTCCAGTCTAGCTTCTTTTACTGGTAGGGGCATTCTTTCCATTTCCTTCTGACATTCCAATGGGGCTTTTGCAGGGAAGTATAACTTCTCAAGTAGTTGCAGTCTACTGTATTCTGACTCTAACACGTTGCCCTTAAGAGTTAGGTAATTTCTGGTTAAGTACCATAGTGTGTGGTGGAATGTGCTAGGGTGGAGGAGTATGCAGAGAGAATTAGCCGGGGATTGTGTGGGTTTGGGGTTTAAGCTGTTTTGATGAGTGCTTTGTGCCAAAAAATACTTCCTCTGTTTTCCTGAACTTCTTGAAGAGTTGACTGTATTTCAGGTGTCCCCATAGGACATCTGTCTTGCTGTGGGTATGAAAAGAGGCAGAAGCTGCTAATCTTGGTTTATTCGGTCCATCTGATGAAGCTCTTTCCATCTAGTTTAGGGAAGTCCTCAGTAAATGCTTTTGGGGACTGTGTTTCAAATGAAAAAGTCTTCTTTTCTCCTTGGGTTGCTCCCAAGGGCCTTTAGTTTGTAGAACTGGACATTCACTTTTTCATAGGAGCTTAAAATTAGGACATTAAAGGTGATTGAACACAGTGGAAAATTAATAGCTTGTTAAGAGGCAGGGAAACCTGGTTTTGTTAGAAACATCTGTGACTGTTTCAGCTAATGATTAGTGTCATATTTGTTTCTCTAACATTCAGCTGGGCTGCATACATGCTTCAGTTTACTTAGCCGTGTTTGTTACCTTCCTAACTGAAGGTGCCTTCGAAGTGCAGGCTTTTTTCATATTTGTGAAGTGCTCTGGGGACGAGCACTCTTTTTTTTTTTTAATATATTTTATTAATTTTTTTACAGAGAGGAAGGGAGAGAGAGAGTTAGAAACATCGATGAGAGAGAAACATCGATCAGCTGCCTCCTGCACACTCCCTACTGGGGATGTGCCCGCAACCAAGGTACATGCCCTTGACTGGAATCGAACCTGGGACCTTTCAGTCCGCAGGCTGACGCTCTAGCCACTGAGCCAAACTGATTATGGCAGGGACGAGCACTCTTTACTCCATCAACATAACATCCAGTCTAATCTCACCATCAAAGTTTTCTCCTGGCCCTAACCGGCTTGGCGCAGTGGCTAGAGCATCGGCCTGTGGACTGAAGGGTCCCAGGTTCCGTTCCGGTCAAGGACATGTACCTTGGTTGCGAGCACATCCCCAGTAGGCGGTGTGCAGGAGGCAGCTGATCGATGTTTCTAACTCTCTATCCCTCTCTCTTCCTATCTGTAAAAAACCAATAAAATATATTTTTAAAAAAAGTTTTCTCCTGGCCTGCCCCTGGTCTGAAACTTTGAAGGTTTATTATTTGGAAGGCTGTCAGAGTGGAAGCATGGCTTAGAATGGTAATGTGGTTGAGCTTTTTATGTTTTATTTTTTTCAGGTCTCATCGAATGTTACTTAGCCTCAAACAGTATTCGTGAAGCAATGGTAATGGCTAACAATGTTTACAAAACTCTAGGAGCAAATGCACAGACTCTTACCCTTTTAGCCACTGTTTGTCTCGAAGACCCAGTGACACAGGAAAAAGCCAAAACGTTACTAGATAAAGCCCTGAACCAAAGGCCGGATTACATTAAGGCTGTGGTGAAAAAAGCAGAACTGCTTAGTAAGTGTATTTTCTTTACTTCCCTGTTCATCATTCATTGTGTAAAATCTTACCTCAGTTGGTTTCCTCAGTTCCGCTGGTTACAGGTGATCAGATAAGTGTGTTCCTTTTGTAGTGGATCTGAGCCCAGATGAATTGGTTTAGCACAACCAAATGTAGCTGGCTTGGATCTGCTTGAATCGGCAGTGACTGACTCTTGTAGAGCTATATGGTTGTTACTTGTTCAGCTCACTTTGACCCAGTTTTAGTTGTCCTGAACCAGTTTGGGCTGAATATAACTGGTTTGCACCGACTCAAGCTGTTTTGACTCATCTGGATTCTCTTAACGATTTCCCTTTTAGCCTTGTTTATTTTTTATTTTATTTATTTTTTAATCCTCACTTGAGGACTTGTTTTTATTGATTTGAGAGAGATAGAGAGATACTGAGAGATCATTTGCCTCCTGAATGGGCCTACTAGGAATTGAACCTGAAACCTGGTATGTGCCCTGACTGGGAATCAAGCTGCTACCTTTTTCTTTTTTTTTAATATATTTTTATTGATTTTGAGAGGAAGGGGGAGAGAGAGAGAGATAGTAACATCAATGATGAGAGAGAATCATTGATCAGCTGCCTTCTACACACCCCACACTGGGGATCGAGCTCACAACCTGGGCATATGCCACCAGGAATTGAACAGTGATCTCTTGGCTCAACCACAGCCACACTGCCTGGGCAAACTGCCACCTGTTGGTGCAGGGGATCGCACTCCAACCAACTGAGCCACACTTGTCAGGGCTAGCCTTTTTCTTTTTTTAGTTCCAATTTATGATGAACTCCTGGATTTGGGCTAGTTTGGCAAATAAAATACATGCTCGCTTTTTATTTGAACCTAGGTTAATAGTACCTTTAAAAAAAATCAGAACCCAAACTGCAGATTTCCTAATGGAATAGGAATTCAGATGAGCTTGTTCTTATTTCCTGCCACACCACTTTTTTCTTGAGGACATCTACAAGTAGATTGTTGGATGGTGATCAGTGTTGTGGTTTTTGTGTATAAGACTTAAGATGGGGCCCTAGCCGGTTTGGCTCAGTGGATAGAGCGTCAGCCCTCTGACTGAAGGGTTCCAGTTTTGATTCTGGTCAAGGGGATGTACCTTGGTTACAGGTTCCCCGGCCCTGGTTGGGGTGCCTGTAGGAGGCAACCAATCAATGTCTGTCCCTCTCTCTCTCTCTCTCTCATCGATATGTTTCTCTTCAAATTTCTCTTTTTCTCTAAAAAATCAATGGAAAAATACCTTCGGGTGAGGATTAATAAACAAGAACAACAACTTGAGATGGGAATGTATTTTCAAAATGTTGGGTAAGTAGGAAAATGAGGGTCTTCTTTTTTTTTTTTCAGGCAGAGAGCAGAAATACGAAGATGGGATTGCTTTGCTGAGGAACGCACTAGCTAATCAGAGTGACTGTGTCCTGCATCGGATCCTAGGAGATTTCCTTGTAGCTGTCAATGAGTATCAGGAAGCAATGGACCAGTATAGTATAGCACTAAGGTAGGCACTTAGCCTCCTGGGGGGAAGTTTGATGAGGGGTAGAGAAGGCAGGGAACTATGTCACAGAAATTCTGAAACACACACACATTGTGCCCACGGTTGCAAACAGAGTAATAATAGAGGAGGAATTTGTGAATTCATGACTTCAAAAAATTTTTTAAAGTATATTAACATTAAAGAATGGTTTCACTCATAATCAACTCACACCACTATCATTTGTTTTCATTTGTGTAAATCATCTTCCTGGCCTTGACCACACATATACATATTTTTATAGGGTTATATGTAGTATATATTTTATATTCTGCTTTTTCAAATCAAAGTATTATGAGTACTTTCCCATGTTTTTACCTACTGTAGTAGTTAAGAACTTAAGCTCTGAAGTTTGGTTACTTAACTTTCACCACCTGTTATCTTAGGCAAGTTACTAACAAATTTCCTTGTCTATATCTATCTACCATACTAGGTATTAAATGATTAAATGAGGATTAAATGATTATTCCATGTAAAGCTCTTAGCACTGTGCCTGGTACATAGTAAATACTAAATAAATAGAGGTATTCTTACTGCTTAGTACAGAAGTGATTTCTTTGAGGGTTGTCTGTGTGTCTTTAAGGTCATGGTGAGGCCTGTCTTTAATTGAGTCTGATCACATTCATTTACTTATTCAGCAGTTGAGCACCACTCCTGTGCCTGGCATCTCAGTAACCACTGGGGATGCTGCAGTTCCAGTTGCTCTCAGTCTCAGACGTGCAGACTGATGGATACCACGTGCTAAGTGCTTTCATAGCAGTCTCTAGACGGCAAGATGGGAGTACAGAGGGTGGGGAAGCCCTGGATGTGGGTGAGAGCTGTATGGAAGGTTTTAGAGAAGAGGAGATGATACAAATCAATCTACAGGTATATTAGTAGGAACAGGATTCCCACATGGGTTTTGTCTGCTTTTTGGAAGCCCAGAAGCAAGTGAGAAAATAAAATGCCAGACTTTTATTAGAGGTGGGATTTGTTAGAGGGTGGACACCTGCTGGCTTGGGTGATGGTCACAAAGAAAAGAGGAAAGATTGCTTAGGAGCCAGGTAAATAAAGCCAAGCTTCTGAACTTTGGGGGCTTTTGCACGTGTAATGGCTCATAGCTATTAAACTTGAATGCTCAGATAGGGGTTGGTTTGGGTCCTGGGGTCTAACCTAGGAGTTGACAAATCTGTTCCATGGTAAGCATGATTTTGGTTAACTCCTGCAGTGCTGATATGTTTAATTATAAGAACATGGAACAATTTTATTCACAGGAAAATAAGTATTTTTTGTAACCTTGTAGCTGAAAAACCCAATACTGTTACAGTACATTTGAATTTTTCTATTAATGGGTGTTTACTACTTTGTTATTTGTGTTATCTGATAGCTTCCTCTAGCATAGTGCTAGGGGTAATGTCTGAAAAGGTTTAAGAAATCAATGAAGAAAAACTCAAATTGAGGATTCTAAAAATTAGGACAAGATGCCTTTTTTCACTTCTAGTGGTGGACTCCCTTGATCCTTCCTGTGGAACTGGTGTTGTTTGGAGAGGCCAGGCGTTAGCAGTTTCTCTGTGGCTGGGTGGTCATTTCGCTGGTGAGCCAGGAGATGACACCTCAGCCAGCAAGAAGCAAGGCAGAGATTCAGGCCTCTCCTTTGTTTTGTTGTCCCCTAGTTTGGACCCCAATGACCAGAAGTCTCTAGAGGGGATGCAGAAGATGGAGAAGGAGGAGAGTCCCACGGATGCCACTCAGGAGGAGGATGTGGACGACATGGAAGGGAGTGGGGAAGAAGGGGACCTGGAGGGCAGCGACAGTGAGGCGGCCCAGTGGGCTGACCAGGAGCAGTGGTTCGGCATGCAGTGAGGCAGGCAGCAGCTCCGTGGCCACACTGGCCTGCCCTGCTCTGAGCACTTCCATGGACTGAAAGAACCGTAGGAGCCCGCTCTCTGGGAGGACAATGATTCAGCATGTGATTGCAGCAGGGGTTTCTGCCCCCTGGCTCCATATTTCTAGTAGTGACTTCATTTTTTAAAACTGAGCCTGAACAACCTTCCATATAAATCCATCCTTCCCTGCTCCAGTCAGGGAGGACTGAGTGAGCCTTCTGGGAGGCCCACAGATATGCTGAGACTTCTGGGACAGTACTTTTTATATAACTAACTTCTCAATCTGAAGGCTCGAGGACTAGACAGTGTTTTGTGTATGATGATGTGGGTGGATTTGAAAAGAGTGACCTGTCACCCAGAGCAAAAGTGTCAACTCCTGAGTAGGACAGCTACACGGGTTGGCCCTTTCAGAGAGGGCTTCTGTCCCAGAAATCATCATCCTAGTAACCTTGCTTCCTTCTGCAATGTTAGTAATGCCTTAAGCTGACAGTTGCTATTTTGCAGAACAATTTTCCTACTTGCTAATCTGGTAACATGCGTATGAACCTGGGCCAGATCTGAGAAAGAGGTGTGACCTAGAGCATGAACACCTGGGGTAATTAACTAATAAAACTTTTCTATACAGTAATGGTGTTGGGTTGATCAGAATGGATAGCCCATTATAGATTCTTCTCTTTTCCCTCCCTCCCTCCCACTCTCTCTCCCTCTCTCCCTCCCTCACTTCCTCTCTTACTCTTCCTCTCTTCCTCTCTTCCTCCTTCCCTCTCACAATGCATTGTTTCAGTCCTAAAATTACTTGCCATAAATAGACTCCCTTTCTTCCCAGAGTGTTGGAGCCAGTAGGATTGGGAACCTCAGGTAACACTGAGCTGGTTCACCCATTTGCATTTTCTTAATGGTGAATTTCCCTGGGGAGAGTCTTTGGCCAGATTTTAGACTGTTTCTGTCTGGCTGTCAAGAGCTCTGAGGTTGGTGTCTGGTTTCAGCATTTGCTGTGGGGTGAGCAGAGGGGTCATTCCCTCATACTCCTTATTTAAGAGGTGATGCTTTTTTGACAGTATAGGTAACCACGAAGTGGGGTTGGGGGTGGCACAGCTAACCTCAAATTCTCATTAAAACAAACTTGGTCAAAGGGTGTAAAATATGAATTTGATGTAAAAGGAAAGTTCTGTTCTAAAGTGTATAGTAGTTTAGGAGCTCAGAACATCTGATAACTGTAATTTTAAGTGGACAAAAAGTTACTGTTAAAAGTATCTTTCAGTATGAGAACCAGTGCCTGGGCAGCATCATTTGATGGAGCAGTTTCTAAAGAGCCCAGCAGGCAGTGGGGCCATTGCAGGTGATCGTGTGGCCTGGAGAAGACGCTGCTCATTGGCCTTAGTGCTCACTCCGGGATGCAGCTTCATGTCCTTCCTCAGCTTGCCTCGAGCAGCCATTATCATCAGTGCGTTGGGAGAAAAGGTGGAACCTCTTTGCCATTCCCCTGACTGGGGGAGAGAACCCAGCCCCACTCTCTCGATCTTATTTTTGCTTGTCAGTCTCATCACCATGACCCCTGAGATTCCCTTGGGTTCAGGATGTACCTTAGTGCCCAGGCCCTGTGCATACCTTCCATCAGTACCCTTGAGTTTCTCCCTTTTCCTGGGCTGGCCCTCTCTGCTCTGCTGGGAGGTCCTAGATCAGTCTGCCTATTCCAAGCCCCTCCATCCCAGCATCATCCGGGGTTAGATCCTTAAGGCCCCTCCCACCTGCAGCTCCAGTGTTTCTACCCTGACAGGTTCCAGGTGAAAGAAGCAAATGAAGCTACTTCTTTAGAGCACCTGACATAGAATTGGGAATACTCTTAGTCCACATCAAAGAATGGAAAGAGTTTGACCTGGAGAGTGCTGAAGATCTCAACTGGTACTACTACCACTATCACTTATTCTCACAAACAGAAAAACTTTATGTAGGCAGGGAGCTGGGACAGAATCAGGCTGCCCAGCTCTGGCTGTTCCACTGAACCACCTGCTAGGAGACCAAGCAACCTGATAAGGAGTGGCCTCCCAGGTGCCTTCTGGTGCCTTAGAGTTTCACACAGCCAATATGGGGATGTTTTAACTGATTCCTATCATTCTCCTCCCTTCCCCCCTATTGTTTGTCGCACAGGTGTGGAGTCAGACTGACTCGGTTCTACAAGTCCCAGCTCTCCCACTGTCATCGATGCGGGTCAGGCTGGGTAGCTAGCTTCATGGCCTGGGCTCCCACATCTGCGTGGGGTCTGAGGACTGAATAAAGTATGGAGTTCAGCATGATGCCTGTTGTGAATGTCATCACCACCATAAGGATAAATACCAGATCGCTGATTCTTCCCTGGGGGAATTGGAGACGGGCTGAAGCCTTGTCTTTTTCTCTCTGGTCCTTCAGCTGCGCAGAGAGGCGGGGTCCTAAAGGATGGTGTCCCTGCCCTCCAGCTTGGTCTTTCATACTCTGGTTCTGAACCCGCTCAGTGTGCCAAGGACCTCGCAGACATCCCTGCAGGGCTGATGTCGGAGCTTTCCTTGCCAGCCTTAGATTGGGGGCCACAGCCCTGCCTTTGAATTCTTCCTCAGAGGATGAGGCGAACTATTTTCCAAATCCACTTTCTAAACTTGATCATGCTTTTCAATGATGCAGATTTCCAGGCCCAGTACCAAATCTTAATCCAAATCCAGGGCCTGGGCTCAGGAGTCTGCATCTTTTAACACTCCTACCCTGCCTTCCTTTTCTAATACAGGTATTTCCTGGTCCAAATATTAAGAAACCTAAGAGTGGGTTGGAGGGTCCCAGAAGCTGCGAGCCTGACTTCAGAAGGCTCCTGGAGGCCTCACTGCAGCTCCCTGTGGGTGGGAACAACTCCCATGACCAGTCTCGGGCCCATGCCCAGGCCAGCTTGGCCAGCTCCAAAGCCGCAGAACTGCCTGCTGCCCGGGACTGAATTCTCTGCTAACAGGCAGTGAAGCCTGACTCAACAAATCTTCACCTTGGCCTTTGGGGGCAGTGGTCACATCAGGCCCGCCAGGAATACCTGGCATTGGGAGGGCCTGGAGAGGTAAGTGCCCTAGTAAGGTTTTCCACTTTGTTCAGGAGCCTCCCTACCCAGGGCAGCAGGAGGGGCATGAAGGGTAGGCTTCTGTCTTCTGACCTGGCCCTGCTGCACCTGGGCTGCCGCTAGTTGTGACCAACGTGTGTGGTGTTTTCCCAGATTGCTGTGGAAGATTTCACTTGTTGCTAGCACAGAACATGTCATGTATTTCAGAAATCACACAGTGGCATCAACACTGGGAATAAGCCTAAAGCCCTCAAGTCAGTCTCCTTAGCAGCCATTAAAAGGAAACAGTTTTAAAATAGAGCACCCTCGTGCATTGCTGGTGGTATTGTAAATGATACAGCCGCTGTGGGAAACAGTCTGGCAGTTCTTAAAAATTTTGAACAATTGCCATATGATCTAGCAATACCCAAAGGAATTGAAGCAGGGTCTTGAACAGATATCTGCACACCCATATTCATGGCTGCAGCATTCATAATAGCCAAAGATGGAAGCAACCCAAGGGTCCATTGTTGGATGAATGAATGGGTAAACAAGCTGCAACATCCATACAATGGAATGTGATTTAGTCTTCAAAAGGAAGGAAATCCTGTCATGCTACAGCAGGTATGAAAATTAAGAACATGCTAAGTGAAATAAGCCTGTTACAGAAGGACAAATATTGTATGATTCCACTTGTATATGAGATCCCTGGAGGAATCAAATTCATAGACATGCAGAAGGGGCTGGAGGGGGCGGGGGAATAAATGGGAAGTTAGTGTTTATGGGGCAGAGTTTCCATTTGGAATGTTGAAAAGTTCTGGAGATGGGTGATGGTGATGACACAACAATGTGAATATGTAATTCCACTGAATTGCACTTAAAAATGGTTAAGATGGTAAATTTTGTTATATATATTTTTAAAACCTTAAGACAGTAAAGAAATGGCCTGTAATTCTGCCATCCAAATAACCCAGTTAACACAAGTATTTGTTATATATATTATATAAATTGTTGAAAAACAAAATTCAACTGAGTGAATTTAAAGATCTAATAGGCTTTATTAAAGCAATTCATGAATCGGGCAGCATCTCATCCAGAAGGGCACTCGGAAGGGCTGTGTAAAATAGAAGGTTTTTATAGGCAGAAGGAGTAAAGGGGCTACTGACAAAAGAAAAGGAAGGATTATTTTGTGGGCTGGGACATCTTTCTATGGGAGAAGAGAAGGTGAGTTTTATCATGCAGATTGCTGTTCAGGGCCCATGTGACAGATTACTGGTGCTTAACTAGAAAATTCCAGACTGGTTAAGATTATGATTCTGGGCCCAGGCTGGTGTGGTAAAGTGATTGAGTGTGGACTTATGAACCAGGAGGTCACAGTTCAATATCCGGTTGAGGCACATGCCCTCCACTGGGGGGAGGGGGAGGTGCAGAAGGCAGCTGATCAATGATTCTCTATGTTTCTCTCCCTTCCTCTGAAATAAAAATATAGCCGAAACCGGTTTGGCTCAGTGGATAGAGCGTCAATATATATATATATATATTTTTTAAAAAAAGATTTTGATTCTAGGAGAGGTTAAAAGCAGATCAGGTATTAAATCTAGGTTTAGTGTCATAGGCTTTTAGCATGAGTGATGCCATTTTGTCCCTCTGTTTTTTCACTTAACAAAGTGAACACATGGTTTAAAAAATTCAGAGAGAGGTATAACATTTAAAATATATCTACTTCCCAATCTCTACTGAATCCCTGTCTCTGCAAAATAAGTTTCTGTACTATCTTTAGAAAAATGGTATTGAGCTTTTAACTAGCGCTATGTATATATAAAGTATACCAAAGTGGTCATGCTGTACACACAGTGGTGTCAATGTGCTCTTGTTCTGACAATTTCACAGAATCTCATTCTGTGGATGGCACAGTTTCTGTAACCCGTCTGCTTTGGTGGGCATTTGTTTTGTTTATTTGATCAGTAGTTTGCACTGTCACAAACATGTTTGCATAATATTCTGCTGGGGTCCAACCCCAGCAGGTCCCCAAAGGTGTGGATGGAGTCAGCGAAGGAGGAATGACACGGAGACAGCGTTCAGTTGATCAGCAGCCTTGCCAGGATCTCTAGCCACAATTTCCAGCCAAGTTCTGTGTCCATGTTCTCTTGCTAGGTTCTCCAGCCAGGTGGGTCTTCAGGAGTATCGGTGCTTTGGTGCTTTCCCTGGTGGGCAGACCCCTGGGGATGTGGGCCCAACAAGTCCCAAATTTTTTGCCAACAGTCTTAGTCCAAGTTTTTCATAAGTAGTACATGGTATTTCTGCAACACTAGAGGGTTTTACTGATTTATTCTCTTCCTTAGTCCTGTTAATCCCTAACTTCAGGGGAAAATCCCCACCTGGGGAAACAACCTTTCTCAGAGAGGTGACCTTGGTTAAAACACATAGCGCTCAGGGGAGCAAACATATTAAGAACAGTATGCCATATACGCCAGGTCCCTTGAAACATATGCTGTGCAGATGTTCCTTCCCTGCAGCGACTGTGTCAAGCAGCAAGGATGGACCAGCTCCCGGCAATATTACAAAGACATGCAGAGGTC